GTGAGAAAAATTAATTATAGGTAATTAATGTAGTTATGGAAGTAAAAGATTTTTCTCCAAGCTAAGTTACTTCATATGTGTGTGTGTGTGTGTGTGTGTGTGTGTGTGTGTGTGTGTGTTTGTGTTTATGTGTGTGTGTGTGTGTGTGTTAACATTATGACACAAACGCAAACTCTGGGGTGTAGAAAATAATATAAAGTTTTCTTATCCAAAAAATTATGTTACTCACAAAGGAAGAAAATAACAAAAAAAATAAAAAAAAAATGATAATTGGAATGAAAATTCACACTAAACAATTATTTATAGAAATGAATCGTTATAAAAATAGTTATATTTTGTTGTTTGAGTTATATTAATAAGGATTAACAAATTAACTTAAATTTATTTGGCCATGAGAATTGGAGTGCAATCTTCCAATGCATAATAATATATTTATTTTTGTATAATAAAATATGATAATTATTATTTCAATGAGTGATCATATGTAGAAGGTGACATAACTTATTTCCCGTAATTAATGTATTTTCTAAAAGATTTTCCCTCAAAGTTATTTCACACACATATATATATATATATATATATTCAAATATAAATTCAAAATAAATAATTTTGTACAATATTAAGTCTTTATTTGTAACAATTTCACTAACAGAGAGAGAGAGATATAGAGAGAGAGAGAGAGAGAGAGAGAGAGAATCCAATGGAAAACTAAAATGCAAATTCACAATATGTAATGAATTGTAAATAAGTCTCTAATTGTAACAAATAATTACATTTATTGTATGTATGATAAATAATTCATAGAAATTAACAAAATGTTAAGTACTAATAGATATAGTTGAAGCCAATTATTTATCCATGAAAATTGAAGTGCACTTTTCCAATGCATAATTAAGAATAACATTTAAACATTTATTTGTAACAAACTTTTTTTTTGCATATATTGTTGTAGTGTGTATTCACAATTTCCTAAGATTGCAATTAATATATAAAGATTGAAGTTAATTAAACTACAGTACAATAAATGTTTAGACAATATCTAAAATAATGTGAAAGTAAATTATCCTACCATTAATACAGTAATTAATGCAACAGGTTTGAGCGGGAAAATTCCAGCTGCTCCACTTTAATATATATATAGATATCTCTCTCTATATTTAATTAATAATAATAAATTTAATAACATTGATTATAGTTTACCATCTTTTTATGTTACAATCTATTATTATTATTATTATTATTATTATTATTATTTTTTTTTTTTATTGAAACAAATATTTTTACAAGAAATTAGTGGGCAGCCGAGATATAATTTGGGCTCCCACTCCATTGGCTATAGCAAAGCCTATTCTAGTATAAATGTGAGCAGCAGCTTTTGCTCCAATATCTTGGGCTAAGGAAAACTTTTGAATACGTCGGAGTAGAGAAACGGCCG